TTCATTTCAGGTTCACCTTCCGCTGAGGAGCGAGTCCTTGAGCCAGGTGTCGAACTCGGCGACCCACTGCGGCACGGGCGCGTCGAACGGGCCCATCTTGCGCAGGTTGTGCGTGGCGCTGCCGGAGCCGAGGATGAGGATGCCCTCCTCCCGCAGGGGCGCCAGCGCCTTGCCGAGGTTGTAGTGGTACGTGCCGTCGCGGTCGGTCTGCACCGACAGCTGGCACACGGGGATGTTGGCGTCCGGGTACATGAGCATCAGCGGCACCCAGGCGCCGTGGTCCAGCCCGCGGCTGTGGTCCTCCTTCACGGGGCCGAACCCGGCTTGCTCCAGGAGCTCCTTGGTCCGCAGGGCCAAGTCAGGAGCGCCCGGAGCGGGGTACTTGAACTGGAAGGGGACAAAGGAGTTTATTCATTCAGGATCAGCGAGCAAACTTCAGACTTCAGAGCAATTCGATTCAAGCATGATGCCGAGAAGACTGAATGAGCTACTACAAACATCATCAACCACAACCAGCGTTTTATTAGCTGCTGCATCGAACTTTTTTGCAGCAGCGGCAAACATTTTTGTTTGTAGATTTACACACTGTGTTTAGACAAGCATAGAAAAGTGTAGCGATTTCATTCAGAAAGTTTCAGAGATGTGATATGATAGCAAATCAGCTAATCAGCATTGGTGCTGCAGGAAAAAAACGGCAGCTGCAATGGTATGTGAGCCCCAGTCCCCAATTAAAGAATATAAACATCGAGGAGATTTGCAATGACACGCGACATATTATTCCAAATACAGTATTATAGTAGCTACCAACCTAGTACGTGCTCATTCAGCCTACGTTATCTAGAAGCATAGACTACCAAACAGTAGTAAAAGCTAAAGATAAGTTGGTGGATGTCTCAAACTGGAATGGAAACTTGGAGGCTAAACAAGCCAAGCACCTAAAAATCATGATAAAAAATATTTCCACTGAACTAAGCTTGCACAATATGAAATATCAAACCACAAATTTCAATTGACCTCACCTAAATTCTTAATCCTGGATGCATATATGATATCTCAAGTCTTAACCATTTTCCTTATCCAGGATATATTGTTATGCAACTCAGATGATAAAGTATAGTAGTAACAGTAGATAAACTGCGTATACTAGTAGAACAACTGCTTATGACAGCCTTCAGTAGGCATGCATCACAGGAAAATATCAAAGATCCCTTTTTGACTTTACTTAGAGATCATAAAAAGAGACATACAGCGGCTGCCAATAGAGCAAAGGGTCGGATACGAGCCGATAACTACGGATACTAATACAGATAGATTCAGATTCGAATACGGATATACGAATGGATATTAACATCATAAATTTGCGATTTAAGTATTTGAATATGGATATGTTATTAGATGTTGAATATTTGGACTCGGATACGGATGGACCTGAACTCCTTTAAACGAATTCATACTTGGATACCATTGCAAAAATATTCGTACCATTTGCAACCCTTATAATTTAGTCAATTAGGGCCTTGTTTAGATTGCAAATTTTTGTAACCTGGACACTGTAGCACGTTTCGTTTGTATTTAACAAATTTTGTCCGATCATGGACTAACTAGGCTCAAAAGATCCATCTCGTGATTTTACAACTAAACTGTGTAATTAATTATTATTTTTACCTACATTTAACCCAAAATTGATATGATTTAGTCAATTGGAGGTGATCTAAACAAGGCCTAGGTAAATGCTAGTGGCAAGCGCACCTTACCTACTTGGATGTGCACGAGCCATCAAACAATCACTGGCTCTTGCTGCTGACAAGCGAGCCTATCACGAGATGGGATGGGACACCAGGGTTGGTGAAATTCAGGTCAGCTAGATGTCTGCATCTGCAGCTTCAGTTTTCTAGAACTACCGTACAGCTCTAGGCCGGTAACTTCCCCCAACGCTCTATGAATCTATGATACTGCATCTTTCACATCCTAATTTCATGTTGATTTCACCAGAACATTGGTCACTGGCTCTAGTGATCCTTGTTTCAGATAAGATAAGCACATGATCTCATGATTCGAGACAAGAATCCCCATTTCTGCACCTGCATGGACCATGATCTGATGGGGTAACTCAAAAGCACTGCTAAGCCATTAGCTGTTGTATATGAATGAGGAAACTTCCGATTTTGACCTTTCCCATGCGCAGAGGAAGACAAAGAACTCGCTGATAAATCCAGACGAGCCGCAATGTTGCCTATCCTAAACCCAATTTTGATGCGCTGGGTCATCTTAAACGCGAGGCTTCCCAACGGATTCGCGGGGATTTGAAGACAGAGAAGGGTGGTAGGTGGGCATCGAACGGACCTGGTACATGGGCTTGGGAAAGCCATAGAAGTCATAGATGGTGTCGTTGCTGCCGCGGATGACGTTGACCGCCGGCGTGGCCGTCTCCCAGTGCCCCGACACGACGAGGATGGCGCGCGGGGGCTGGTCGCCCGCGACCTTCGCCGGCACCCACGACTTGAAGAAGTGCCGCGCCGGGATCTTGTCGTCGATGGAGAGCGTGGGCGAGCCGTGGGATAGGAAGAAGGTGTCCATGGTGGCCGGGACTCTCGGCGGTCGCCTCTGCCCCTCCTCGGCTGTTGCGTCTGGCTGTGGCCTCGTGATGTCGCCGCGCCGCTGCCGCTCCTCGTCCTCCTCGCCCTCCCGCGTCGCGTGCCGCGTCTCTGGTTTGGGTATGCCCGCTCTGGCTCTGCCCATATGTCGTCGCGCTCGCTTCGCTGTATTTTGCGCGCGTGCGTCGCGTCTGGTTTGTGGTGGTCCGTAGGGAGCAGAGCAGCGCGAGATAGATGATTGGCGGGCGCCTGAAAAACATTGGGTTTGGTTGGTCGCACCTCGCACGGGGCGGGGTCCAAACTCTAGACGCGCAGCAATACGAATCTTCCGGCCTCCGCCGGAATCGGTTCGGTCTGCCGGCCCCGCGTCGTGTAGTCACTGGCATGTAAGCAATGACGCACGACGGCGTGTTTCTTTGAAAAGTCGTAACAAGGAGAGAAAGCGGATTTCGTGAGATGGGCCTCTTGGAATCTTGGTCTTGGACAGCGCCGGTCTTCCATTATGGGCTTGCTAGGCCATACACAGGCACAGCCGAAAATTGCTGTTGATCTCGAGCAAGGCCACAGCCCACAGGTCTGCTTGGGTCTAGGAAAAGAACTCCTCTCACTGTTCTAAAAAAAAAACTCCTCGCACCAAAAAAGAGAGCGGTAATGCTTGCCTTCCTGGCTTGCGCGGCCTACCAAGTTTGTCTCCTCTCTACGTCTCCTACATCTCTATCAAAAATATCTATCCACTTGCTCGTCTATAGTTCGCTTTACGGCGCCGTGCGGTCGTCCGGGTCACTCCGCATTTGCCGCCGCAGCCATCTCTCCGCACGCGCCAACCCTATGATGTTCGTTTCTCGCTAATGCCCGTCGTGCACGCCCATCCGCGCCTCTCGCTCCTTGCTCCCGCAGTCCCACCAGCGCCGGCGCGCCGCACGCCTCAGTTGGTGCCCGTGGTGCCGTCGCACGCCTCAAGTTGGTCCCCTGCCGAGCCAAGGGCACCCATGAGCGCGGCACGTGCTCGTGGTGTGCTCGCGCGCCCCGAGGCCAGAATCAACCGGCCCGGACCTCCCCTCCCATATGTTGCAAATGTATGTATCAAGTGTTTTAGATGTTTCAGAGGTATGTTGCAGATGTTTCATATGGATGTTGCAAAAGTAGATCGGGATGTTGCATATGTTGCAAGTGTTTTAGAGGTATGTTGCAAGCGTTTGTTCAAAATGTTTTATCTGCTTCAGATGTATGTTGCAAGTATTTTTTTTATCTAGATGTTGCACATGTTTCATACCTTTATTGTAAGAGTACGTTCGAAATGTTCTAGTTGTTTCATACTTATGTTGCAATAAGTGTTTTCATGTTGCAATTTGTAAGTGTTTTATCTGGATGTTGCATATGTTTCACACATATGTTGCAGTTGTATGTTTCCAAATGTTTCATCTGCTTCATTCGTATGTTGCATCCAAGTGTTTCATGTTCAGAGGTAGAGAGTCATGGGGCACAGCCTAGGCGTGCCGTGGGCCGACGGTCGGGGCGCGCAGCTAGCGCACCTAGGATCCTGCGGACGGGGCGTGCTCGTCCTCATGCCGGCTCTTGGGTCCTGCCCGCCCAGAGATAGAGAGGGGGGGCCAGGGGGAAAGGAGCGGCGGGCGCGGCGTTTCCCATGGGCGCGCGGGCGTCCAGCCTCGCGGTCACGGAGAGAGAGAGAGTAGAGGCCAAGGGGGATGGAGTGGCAGGTGCAGCCTTTTCAGCGGCGCGTAGGACGAAGGTGGCGCAAGCATCCGGACAGGCGTTAGTATCTCGCAAGACAGAGACAGGATGAAAAGAAGAGTTCGAACGCCCTGGCATATACGCCACGGCAAGTCCGGTGGCAACGGCATCACTGCATCGGTCCATATTATGGAGCAAAAACGATCTACCGGTCGACCTGGTACGCAGCCGCAGTTGTGGTCAGGACGTCACACGTCCGGTCACGAGTCTTCAGAGTTCAGACAGAAAGGCCTCGTTCACTTTGCAAAAAAAGTGAATCCGATGAATAGTCTTCCGTAAAGACCAATCTTCAAAAGATTAAATCGTGGCTGATTAATCGCGATGGACCAATCTCAAAAGATTAGTCTGCCATCTAGATATTTTCAGGTTTACTGGATGGCATCTAAACAGGGCGAAAGAACGTATCTTCCACCGATAGTCTGCCATCTAGATGTTCAGGTTTACTCCGACGGCGACCGAATGTCCAGTGTCTCGATCCGTCAAAATTTTTTTCTTTGAAGACTTCAGCCTTTATTAAATTCGTCAAGATCAGCTGTTTGAGAATAGCTCGCTAGTCCATCCTGGTTGCCAGGCTGCAGTGCATAAAAGCTCCAAACTCCACGATAAGCTAGCTAAGTCAGTTACACTAATCAGGTAGCGATCTCTCGGCTTGCCATGGCAGCTACGACGAGCGCTGCCAGGAGCTTGCTGCTCTGCCTGTTGCTTGCCTTTCTTCACGGCCTCCAGTTTCAGATCCCGCCTGTAGCAGCCGCGACGTCGCACAACAAAACCGAGAGCCGAGACGGGCGCGGGAAGACGCTCAGCTTCACGCTGTACCAGCACGAGACCATCAACAAGACCGGCTACATCGTGGTGGACGGCGTCGCGGGCGCGGGTGTCAGCCAGACCACCACGCCCTTCGGCACCATCTACGTCTTCCGCGACGACCTGACGGTGCGCGCGGACAGGGCCTCCCCGGTGGCCGGCGTCGCGGAGGGGAGCTCCATCACCACCAGCCTCGACGGGCTGCAGAGCCTGTCGCTGGCCAAGATCACGGTCCACCACCGCGGCCACCGGGGATCCGTCTCCGTCCTTGGCGGCACCTACAACAACAAAGCCGTCCGACTACCCGGTGGTCGGTGGCACCGGCGACTTCGCGTACGCGCTGGGATATGTCCGGTCGTCGCCGGTGGACTTGCGGGGACGGACGGTGACGTACAAGATGGAGCTTCACTTGTACTGGCCTCCGTATGCCCACTACGCTCCGGTTCCGCACAAAGCTTGAATAGTATAGCTATTGCAACGGCTACAAGTGTGTCCATTTTATTCTTTTTTTTCGAACACGGCGTGCATCTTTATCTAATCTTAGATCACAATAAAGTTGAACAATAATTTGATGGCTTTTTCTTATATATACAAAACCATAGTTTGCATTGATGATTTTCTCCTATATTTCATATGTCTAAATTTAAGATGATTTCAGATAACACTCTTATACTACCAATTAAAACAAGTAAATTGTCACTTTTGTGATTTGTCATTTGTCTTTGTGTCATAATATATCAATTTTTTATCCTTGTCTAACTATAGAAATAGTTGTAAATTGTTAAATTGCCAACAAATATAAGATTTTGTCAAGTTTGTGATTTTGTCTAACTTTTTTTTATTCTCGAAACTAAAAAATTACAGATTGTATCTACAAAAAGTGCAACTAACTAAAACTGCAACTTTAATATAAAATATATGCAATAACCGTCACATGAAAGAAAATTAAAATTCGGGCACTTGCGCTCAATTGTCTTAAACTTAGGTCTTGTTTGGATCTAAGAAGATGATAATTAGCTGCTAATAATTACCTCCTTAAATTCAAATAAGTCTAGCAAATAGTTTAGCTAATTGTTAGTTGAGTACATAACTAATAATTATTTCACTAGTTGGACCAAATTAGCTAATAGAAGCTAATATTAGTTGTCACCTATTTAGCTAGATAGTTATTAGCAACTAATGGATCCAATCAGACCCTTAGGTGTTTGACTCGGGTAGAGAGATTTTTATTTTTAATTTTGGGACTTAGGGGATAGCTCCAATCCTTCTATATGATGCCAAGATCAAGTTGACACTTGAGCACACCAAGAAACAAGCTACCGATGCCATGCATCAAACACCCTACGTCAGGTAAAAGTCAGGTTACAATCCGGTGAGATTTAACGAACCGAGACGGCCGGGACATCCGCCTTGGAACTCTAAAAAAAAGGTCAGGTGGCAATCCAAACAATCACCATGGCTACGAGTACTAAAACCTTGCTGCTATGCCTGATTCCATGGTTCGTTTACCAGCTCCAGCTTCACCAATTCTCTCCTGTATCGGCTGCGACAACAATGGCCGGCAAGATCGAGATCTTCACCGTGTACCAGCACGACAGGCTGAACGAGACCGGGTACGTCGTGGTCACCGGCGACGAAGGCGCCCCCTCCAGCGACACCACCAGGCCCTTCGGCAGCATCTACGTCTTCCGCGACGACCTGACCCTGCACAACGACAGCGATTCCCCCCGTGGCCGGCGTGATGGAGGGGACGGCCACCACGACGAGCTTCGACGGGCTGCACAACCTGCTGGCGGCCAAGATCTCGCTCCACCACCGCGGCTACAGGGGCTCCGTCTCCGTCCTCGGGGGCTCCCACAACACCAAGCCGTCGGTGTATCCGGTGGTGGGCGGCACCGGCGATTTTCTTTACACGGAGGGGTACGTCCAGTCGTCGCCGGTGGACTCGGATGGCCCAAGGGTCATGCACAAGTTGGAGATTCACTTGTACTGGCCACCGTACACCAAATTTGCTCCAGTTCCTTAGTAGGACTTCGGCATGTGCAGCCATATCATCTTTGCAGCTCTCAATCTCTGGTCTTATTGTACTTTTGGAATACAGTGAAGTTGCAGGAGTACAATTTGACAGTGGCACTATACAGCGGCGTATTTTTGTCCCTATCAGTTTTTTAAAAAAACACGCGGTGGTTTCGTCGAATCAAGTGCAAGGACTGGTGCGGAGGTGCAATCAGAGTGAGCAGCACGCGAAATGGAGAAGCCATCAGTTTTTGGTGGCAAACCGATAGGACGCGTACGATAGCGTGGCGTTGGACCAGCTATGGTGGATGAGCTCCGCCTCGCACCCTTCTCCAGCGGCGCCGAGCGCGACGTGCAGCGGGTAGAAGTGGTCGGGCCGCGGGTGCGCCTCCTCCGCGTACGGCGCCTTCTCCTGGTAGCGCTTGACGTCCTCGTGCCTGCCGCCGAGGAGGGACTCCTTGAGCCAGGCGTCGAACTCGGCGGCCCACCGCGGCACCGGCTCGTGGCTGGTCGGGGAGAACGTGCGCAGGATGCGGCGCAGGTTGTGCGTGGCGCTGCCGGAGCCGACGATGAGCACGCCCTCCTCCCGCAGCGGCGCCAGCGCCTTGCCGAGGTCGTAGTGGTACGCGCCGTCCCGCGCCGTCTGCACCGAGAGCTGGAACACGGGGACGTTGGCCTCCGGGTACATGAGCATCAGCGGGACCCACGCGCCGTGGTCCAGCCCGCGGCGGCGGTCCTCGGCCACCGGCCCGAACCCGGCGTCCTCCAGGAGCTGTTTGGCCTTATTGGCCACGTCCGGCGCGCCCGGCGCAGAGTACGTCAGCTGTACGTACGTGTATGGTCACATTGTCACGTGATCTCGGTTCGAACTTCGAAGCCAGTGAGGCACTAGTGAGCAAGGGAGCGTTGTATTGTACGTACCTTGTACATTTGGTCGGGGAAGCCGTAGAAGTCGTAGATGGTGTCGTTGGTGCCGTGGATGACGTTGACGGCGGGGGCGTCGGTCTCCCAGTGGCCGGAGACGACGAGGATGGCGCGTGGCGGCTGCGGCCCGGCGAGACCGGCGGGCACCCACGACTTGAGGAAGTGGCGCGCCGGCAGCGAGTCGTCGATGGAGAGCGTGGGAGAGCCGTGGGAGACGAAGAACGTGTCCATGGCCTTGAAAAGGACGGTGGTTGACCGTAACGGGCAGGAGAGCCTACTACCTGAGGCCTGAGGTTGCGGGGTTGCTGCGTTGTGTCGCGACTCGCGACTCGGGATCGAGGAATGCGATTCTCTTGCGACAGGATATATCTTGCGCTACTCCCTCTTGTCTGAAAAAACACAATTCTGACTTTAAACCTGCACAATGCGCTTGTCCAGCTTCAAAACTAAAATTATATCTGTTGTTTGTCCGGGTTGGTTTGGTTTAGATCGTTCTTCTTCGTGAAATCTCATTGGTGAGCATGAAGTATTACGCTGATGCTTTTGGTTCGCAGTGTGATATTTTCTTTGAGACGGAGTGAGCATGAAGTGTTACGCTGATGCTTTTGGTTCGCAGTGTCAGGCTGATATTTTCTTTGAGACGGAGTGAGCATGAAGTGTTACGCTGATGCTTTTGGTTCGCAGTGTGACATCTGACCTGATCAGAGCTTGTTGGTTGGTCTGTCTGTAGAGTACCTGATCCTTGTGGCGTGTAGTTTCGTAAGCTATGACGCATATATTTTGCTTCGCAGGAGGAATCGGCCAGGTCAATTGGCCGGCCGGCAGGCGGTTGCGTTTGGTAGGCGGATGGATATATGGAATGTTAACAATTCCTAAAATCTTATCGCCAAGGAACGAGATATAGACAGCAAAATTTCGCAAAAGAGAGAGCAGCAGTGTAGCACCCGGACGTTAGGACGGACGTCCATACCCGCACCCGTTCCCGCGCCTGCACTTTGTGTACCGTCCAACCCCACGCGGTGTTTGCGGCCCCGCCTAACCCCACACGGCGGCTGCACCTGCTCGACCCTTCGTGCCCCCTCCAGCTGCAGCTAGCCCTAGGCAAAAAAGACCGAGAACCAAACCGAAATACCGAAATCGAATTTTTCGGGTATCCGTTCGGTTCCTAATTCCCAGGAACTAAAATTACCAAGGTAAATTCGGTTCTTTACCTCGGGGAACCGAATTTACCAAATTACCTGAAATGTGCTGAGTTTGAGTGTTGTTATATTATTGATTGTACTATTGTAGACTATTATATTATGTATTTGTGGTACTCACTCTTATAGTCTTGTGGACTTTTATATGTATATTTATTTTGCATTATTATTCTCTATGAAATCATGTCAAAATTAGCTTTTGAACCTGCTATTACATGTCTCTGTGATCAGTTCGGTACCGTTCGGTAAATACGGAAACCGAACCGAATGTACGGAAACCGAATTTCCTCGATACCGATTTTTTAAGGAACCGATCGGTACCTATTTTCCAAGGAACCGAATTTCTGTGGGAACCGAAGTATCGAACCGATCGGTTCAGTATTACCGAATGCCCAGGTTGAGCAGCAGCAGCAGGTGAGTCACATTGCAACATATGCAACACAGTTCTATTTTTGAAACATTTAGATGCAACACTTACAACATAGTCCGAAGATAGATGAAACACTTGAAACATGCGTTTGAAACACTCGCAAAAACACCTGAAAACAGTTGAAAACCCTTACAAACATACGCAACATCATAATAAAACACTTGCAACATATGTGTGAAACATATGCAACATCCAGATAAACACACTTGCAACATGCGTCTGAAAAACAGATGAAACATTGGAAACAGATGTTTACAACATACGTACTATTGCAACATATGCAATATCCCGATCTACTTTTGTAAAATCCATACGAAACATTTGCAACATACCTCTGAAACATCTAAAACATTTGAAATATACGTTTGCAACATGCGCTTTCAGCGCAACATCTACTTGCCGTCTTGGACGAATATGGAGGCTCGTCGATGCGGAGCTCGATGCCGGGCTAGAGCGTGATGGAGAGAGGGTACGGTGGCTGATCGCGCGCGGTGGAGAGAGTCGCGGTGGCATGGTCGCGCCGGAGCACGCCGTGGCGGTGTGAATGCGAAGGTGCAGTGAGTGGAGAGGAACGAACGACGGGCTCACGAGCGGATATGGTTGTAGACGAGTGGACGAGCGCATACACAAGTGAAGCGTGTTGGGGATGTTGGGCTGGTATCGTGACCCACTAATGGGAACGTCCGGACAGTCGGACGTCCTTAGCATAGAATTACTGTTGAGAGAGAGAGAGAGAGAGAGAGAGAGAGCGCCAGCAATACGAATTTATTAGGTCCTAGTGGTATGAACTAAAGCCTGTTCTGCTGGCATTGCTGCACAACGGCAGCGAATGGAGCTTTTTGTTTTGTGTTAGTTGTTATGAGGGGATGCTGCAGCAGCAACCGCTGCCGCTACCACAACTATCACAGCCAAACATATATATTTTGTGGTGAAGATTCACCTTTTTTTAATAAAAAGTACCCTCCCATACATGTCATTGTGAGTTGCTAGTCTATTGTCTTTTTTTTTTTGCAACAAAGTGGACAGTGGGTGGGCATTTGCAACAAAATATCATATATTGGTGGTATATCCAGATCCAAGTGACATGTGGAATGTTATTTGTTGTCAATTTCTCCTAGATTTTTTGAGCCCATATGACGATTTATTAACGCTCAAAAATATTTTTTGCATCTACAGGTCGGCCCATGTAAACTTTAGTTAATTCCAGAATAAGAAAAATACACAAAGAGAACACACTGTCAGAATCAAACGAGCCTAGCTACTTCATATAAGAAGAGCTAAAAATTTACCGCGGTATCTGTTGCGCAACAACACGTCGCCACATCAACGACTCAACGTGAGTGATGGAGTCACAACTGTAGACAAGTGACAACATAACCAAAATCATTCCTGTGCAAATGTAACGGAGGCCCAATTAACATAATCGAAACCAGTCCCATGTGGCAATGCAACTAGGGATGAAAACTATAACACCCTTGGTGTTACGTCCGTAAATCACTTACTAAAATATGTCATACGCATCATGTTTAAATGTTATTGTATGTGATAATATGAACAAGTAAAGCATTATAATTTAAAAAAAAAGTCATTTCGCGACTGAGGAAATTAGCAAGTAAGGATATTCATGAATTTTTATTGAACAAGAACACTATAGAACATGTAGGTGACAGCTGAAATAAAGTTGGGAGTGCAAACTTTGTAGAGGGTGATGAAATACTTGCTATTAAAAAACGATATGGCTAAGTGGTATTTCTAATAGCTTAGAAATGCAAGCTGAAATAGAGTTGATTCAAGACTTAGAGAAAATTTCATGTTGGGAACAGCTTGACATAACCATGTTTGTCAATTTATTTAGGAGAATTGGGTTAGGGAGTGAAGGGGTGCTTTAGCTCGGTTTAGTAGATCTATGTGCCAACTTGGGGGTGGAAGAGGTGGTTTGGAGGTAGGAGTAACGGTTTAGGAATCTTTCGTGCTTTAAAAACTGTGCATGCATCGTTCCCGGCCGCCGCCTCTGTCTGAGTGCGGTCACCGGGCGGGCCAGCTCAACGTTGCGGCCCTGGCGCACCTGGCGCTGCCACGCACGGCCGGCCGTCGTTGCTGCTACCCCATGCCAGCTGCCGCGCCCATGTGTCCCTGCGCCTGCCGCTCCGACGTCGCGGCGCCGGTGCGTAGGCGTGCGTGCACCCTACGCATGGCCACCTGCTGCGCGCCCATCGCTGCCTCTGCTGCCGTTGCCGTTGCATCCCCTTGCTGCGCGCTGCCCTACACTGCACCACGTGCTTCCGCACGCTACGCTGCTGCGCGCCAATCGCTATGCCACGGCCTCGCTTAGCGCTATGCCACGGCCAATCGCTATGCCACGGCCTGGGCTCCGCACGAGCGCAGCCGAGCCACCGTCGCCTCGTCATTAATGGCGTTGAGGCGCGCGGGCCACACCGGCCATGGGGGTGTGCCTGTTGGCTTGTGCTTGGCTGCGGTGTGTTCCCATCGCACCATCAGCGTCACGCCAAGCCACGTTGAGTCGCGGCCGTGTCCCCACAGCCGTCCGTTCCCTCTCTGCCCGCACCCCTGCCCTCGTCGTCGTGCATCGTGCCTGTGCGCTAGGGGCGAGACGTCGCATCCCACCATTCATTGTGCCACTGCTTCGCCACCACACCCCTCTCCGGCCGCCCCACCCGCTTTGATTGCGGCTTAATCGAGCCCTAATTTGGAGCGGCGCCCGCCACCGCGCCGTTAAGACTCATCCCCCCCATGTCGTGGTCAGCCACCACATTGAGCCCTCGATAAAATTGACTGCACCTTTAGCTCCGCCCTGAGCCTCTTTGAACCATGCACGCTATCCGCAGCCCTCGACCATCTCCTTGCCGTGGACATGGTTGTGCCATTGCGGCCACCGGTCACCCCCGCCGTGCGCATGTGGCCAGCTTCGCTCGGGTTGGCTCCGGCCGAGCCAGCACCCCGAATAGGTCTCAAGTGAGTCATCATTGCTCAACTGCCCCCTATCGCCTTATGGTTGCGGTGGCTCACCGGAATGCCTTTGTCGTCGCCCATGATCCACGCCGAAGTGGCTAGGCCTTGCTACGGCGTCCCGGCCCTGGTTTTCACCACCCATCGATTCGCGTTGGCGTCTAGGTGAGCACCAGTCCCTTAGATTGGGTGGGGAAGGTCCCGGTTGGCCGGCGGGGGTCGCCAGTGCCTTCGGCCGCCGCGTCGGCGTGTATGGCTAGGGCGAGGACCTCTCCGTTGCAAAGGAGAGAAGGAGCGAGGGTTTTGTTGCAAAGTCATAGTCTGTTGAAATAGTGCACATAGTGTTAGTAGTATTATCGGAGAACGCGAGGGCGTTTTTGCAAGTTGGTTGGCGCGCGCGGGCTCCCCCGTCGCGGGTCGTTTGGGTGTGTGGGCCACGCCTTGCGTGGGCCCAGTTGGGCCACGTGGTAGGGAATCATTTTCCTTTTTAAGGATTAGAAATAGCGTATTATTTTATGTTGTAAGTAGAACTTTGAAAATTAATATCAATTCGCATAGATGTCCAAAATTTATGAAATAAATTTTTTTAGTTCCTAAAAATGTTGTCTATCTGATGGCATAGTTAGTTTATGCAT